TTTCGGTCGACAGGAGGTTATCGGTGCTGCACCGAAAACCGGTGCAACCGGATATCAATCCTGCGTTCATTTGGAAACCGCTTTGCGAGTTGTTGCAACCGATCGCCGACCTTTTTGTAACCAGTGACAGTTGCAAGTCGCAAAGAGGTTTTTTGTTTAGTGTGAGCGTAACCGCACAGGCCTCGCGACCTCAAAGAGACCAAGTATTTAAAAAAAAATATTAAAGAGTATTATAAGGTTGATAAGGATTAAACCGTATGCCAATTTATGTTTTTATTACAGCACTTGTTTCGTTTGTTGAGGGTGTAGTCTTTTCAAAAGTTAACAAAACATTGCTGGTTTCTTTTTTAGGCAGGAAATGATAACCAAGTCCAAGTTCTTTCATCAAATATTCGCAATCGCCTTACAAGGGGTGTCTTATAATCCACGGTCTCACCCAGTGTTTTCGAGTTTTTATTCTTTTTATTTCTTAGGTAAACAAAGCCAATGATTATAGCAGATCCGTCTTTTTGAAAAGGAGCCGTTTTACTAGAACTTTTTTTTGTCTTTTGAGAGGGGTATTTTAGAGAAAACAGCTACTGTCACAAGTTGGCAACATATATATTCTGTGCGACCTTGCTGCTACCAGTTGACAAGCGATTGCTACAGTCCTGCAACCAGTTTGCAATCACCAACTGGTTGCAGACATGTTGTTTATCGCTCGGCAAACGGTGTGCAACTGGTAACCTATAACTTGAAGGTGGTCTATAAGAGGTTGCAGAAACCATACTGCAACCTTGTTGCAACCGCTTTGCAACTTCTTACCGGTCAAAATTGGCCACAGCTTCTTAATTAGCTTGCAAAGTGATCGCAAGCGACCGTCAGATTTTGTGGTTGCAAAAAGGTTGTCAAAAGGTTGTAAGCGCAGTGTGACCCAGCCTTAAATCTCTGTTATGAATAGCTCTTTTTTCTTTTCTTTTCTTTTTTATGTCAAACCACAGATATAGGGTTGTAAGAATAAAGTAGGAAGAAATGATATAGCAATATTACTATGAGTGCTGCTTATGGCTGAAGAATTTAAAGAAAAAAAAATCGAATTTCTTAAGTACATTCTGTATAGTTATTGAACCTGCTTGCCTAGCAATACTTGGAAATGTGTTTTGCTACTCATATATTTTTTTGCTTAAAATATATCCATTTTGGTGCAAATTGTTTTGTAAACAAAAATATTTCCGTTATATATAATCTTTTTTACTTACCGAATGCCTTGAAGGCAGCGAATTTCAAAATTCTCTTGTTATCTTTCTGTTGCGGTCTATGTCGTCTGCAAGAGTAAGCGGGGGTGAGTCTGAGTCGTTGGTTATGCACCTATTGGATATCCATATACAGGAAAAATTTAAACTGTTTTTGGTTCTTCTTGGAAAGCCAGCTGGCTTTAATCAAGACAAATTAGTAACACCTGTCACGTTGGTATTGACTTTACTGATAACGCGAGGTTATAATAGGACTAAGCATATCTTTTATTGCCACTTTCGAGCAACCTTATCTACATTTTATTGCCCTACCTTCAACCTCTTAACTTTTCATTGCATCTTCAGGGGGTTTGTTTTTTTTAGTTGCTAAGTAATGTCATAAAGACAGTGGATGTGGTGAGAACTATATAGCATTTTGTTGTCAGTCCCAGAGTTGATACAATAACAGTTAGCAGTGTAAGCCCTCGATCGCATCTTTATTCCTTTCTAAATAATCATAAAAATTATAACCTAAAAGACCAAACCTTTATAACAAGACTTATATGACAATTTGGAGCAGTATTTTACCTGAAATTTGTCTGAAATAAGTCTGTGCATTATAAAGGATGATTTAAAACGCTCCGTTTTCACTCTTGGTATTAATATTTCACTCTCTGATACTTTAAGCATAAAAAGGAGTAAATCCACTTCCTAATAAACTCTGGAATCCCTTGACTGTTCAGTTTTTCAATTAAGATGCAGCGGTCTATTCTGTCAAGTGCCTTAGGAAAATCTAAAAATAAAACTTGCGAATAAGATTTGGTTTTAGCAGATGGTTCACGACCTTCTAGTATTTTGTGAGTCAGCTCTACTAGAGCTTGGGTAGTAGAGCTATTTTTGACTACTAAAAATTGGGACCTATCGATTTGCAGGCCATCCATCACCCATTTTGCCACAAATGACTCCAATATTTCACTCAACACTGGTGTAAGCGATATTGGTCTAAGATCAGCCTCTATCAGTTTTGGTTGGTTAACTTAAGGGACAGGGATTACCTTTGCAGATTTCCAAGTGTCAGGTACAAATCCCTCTCTGACAGAGCTATTAAAAATTGCGCACAAAGGCTTGGACAGCAAAATCTCTGATGACCCAATTTGGAATTTGGTCAGAACCTATAGCCTTTGAGAGCTTAACATCAGAGAGAAGTTTTTTGACATCATTTACATTAATAGTAAATTCCTCTGGTACTGCATAGTTCTGGTGTACATTTTCAGCCGGTGTAAGAGGTGTCAAATTGCTACTAACACTTTGAAAAATTCATTGATCTTTTTTTACTAGAACCTGGTAATTACCGTTTGATGTGCTATCAGCAAGTGACTCTAATGAACATTTATTGTTATTCAAACCTGCTAGCTCTTTCGATTTCTTCCACCAAGTAGAAGAGTCAGACTGTTTAAGTGATTCTATTTTGTTTTTGTAAATAATTCTTCTTTCCACTGTACAAAAAAGTAAAAAGGGTCTAATATTACCTTAAAGGGATAATAACTCTTCGTATGAGATCTATATTTCACAATAAAAACATTGTGAATAACTCATAGAAATATAATATATTTCCACAGCCATCGCTCCTTGCAATTAGCGTCCCTACTTGAAAGGACATCTCGTGTGGCCATCTCGTGTGGTGATCTTGATTGCGGATGCCCTGCATTTTCGTTATGCCGATGTCTCGGTATTCTGTCATTTTTCTGTCATTCTGTCTCGACATGTTCAGTAGATCAAAATAAAGAAAACTTACTCCTGACATACAGTTTTGTCAGTCACCATTTTGTTTTCTTCATGTCATAATTTGTAATTGAAGGATTAAAAAATCTTCAATTTAAATGGCATTGTCCTAGAAAATCGTGGTGGTTGGATCTTAGTTACAATAATAGCCATAGGTCTACCATAAAAATTATTCCTCTTCTTTAAACATATATACTACGATGGAATTAAACATTAAATACACATTTGTAACTTGGTATCAAAATATATTAGTTTGCACAGTCACTATTTTGCAAATTACTTCTAAAACTTTCTAAAATGCGTTGAGGGATGTAATGTGATTCTAAATAAAATGTTTAAGCATGCCTTAATAATGCACAATATTTATCAGTCTTTAGTGTTTGTATATATGTCCGATAATGAGAAGAATAAATAGAATCATGAAAATAATTATTCAAGTTACCATGATCATTATTTAGAGACTAAAATCCGAAAATATTGAAAAGATTTTTCAATGTACATGTAGAAGAAAGGAAGCATCCTCTGTACAATCTATATAATAGTTTGCTTTTCCTATCTCGTCAATCCAACACTTCTTGGAAGTTTTGCCTTGCTTCCCCCCCCCCCCCCCGCCCCCCCCTCACCGGACTTGAAACGTGCCTGTTTTCTCTTTTTTCCCATTCCGATTTAGCTGCATTGACGTTCTCTTTCATTATTTTTTGTAGCCAGCACGTCGTTCAGGAATTCAATTGCTTGAAAATCATTAATTTTCTACTAAAAAAGGATACAGATTACGTCATAGATATTAATCCTCCGACACCAATCATCTACGTACATGTATATTTGGACCCTGGGAGTAGAGAGGAGACGTCTGATATCAAATCTGCAGCTCTCGTTATGAGAGATATCAAGTGGCGCCATCTGCAGGCATTATCAAAAGGCTTTAGACGTGACAGGTGAAGGGCTGATATTACTGACAATGGCAAAGATCTGATTTGGAGACTTCTTATGTTGTTTCTCCAGAAAGAACTGAATCGAAACAAGGGCTCTATTTGGGACATAGAAAACAGCGGAGACAGCAAATAAATAAAAAATTGAATAATAATTTTCAGCTGTGCAAACAGAATTATATTTAGGTCAATATTGGCTTAGCCTATATCACACTGCATGGTACTTTTGTGTCTTAGTATTCCTTTTCAGCGTACGATAGCAATCATTTCATTGCTTTTACCTTTGTAGGCCCTGTGTACGGTCTAAATTCTGTTATTTGGTGCTGCTACATTACCTCGTAGCGTTAAATGCCGAGATATTGTACTGTATGTGCGTTGTAACGTCATTTGAACGACATTTATTTTTTTTATTCATCTGCGTGGCTATATTGTGGTTTATAATCAATATTTTTTCTCTTCTCCTTAACATGTTATAACTCCTGCAAAGTGCCTGCTATTTTATTAAATAAGATATCTTTCAGAAAATGAAACTGGTTTCACTTATGTAAAGATCCTCGATAGATTTTCAAGTGTTCGACCGAAGTTCATGAAATCGATAAGTCCTTTTTGTGTCTTTGTTGTAGCTAAAACTAAAAATCAATACTTGCAGCTCTGAACTAAGACGCACTTCATTCCAGTTCTCTGCTAGTTTTTCAAAAAGCGTAGTATGTAAATACAAATGCTTCTTTAATATTTAAATATACATTATGTCAGCCTCTATACACTTTTTGTCTTGTTTCAGGCAAAGCAGAGGCCAGGGCAGCTATCAATAGAAAACTTGGGCGACCTGTGACTTTAGAGTTATTCAGTAGAGTTATTCAGACACCGCCGGCATTATTCGTTCGAACATTGTGCTACTCCGTGATCATCATTTAAAGTCATTCATGCAGGCATGGATTATGGCCTTTAGTGAGGTTAACTTTACCTCCCCTCCCCTCTTTCGACGTTAACTTATTGTTTTCTTGCCCTCGTTTATGGGCTGTTCTTCTGTAACTAGGGTCTTTACAAAGTGTCGTTAGGGAAAACATTGTTGACGGTAGTTTCACCTCACGGCCATCTTAACACTAAAAAAGAAACTGTTCGATATTTTATAGACAACAACAACCAGAATTGCGGAAGAAACGGTGAGTTTTGAAGTAGTTAGCCAACTGATGCCTTGTTATATTCTAGAAAATGTGTTGTGCAATTTCAGTTCAAATTACTGTGCTAGTGTACTGAGATTTTAAGGTAGCGACTTATCTCCATGTAGATAAGATGTTTCCTGACTTCAAGAGGTCGCTTGTAAACATGGCCCCATTTATATATCTCACTTCACCCAGGGTGGTGTATTTTTTTAAACATTAAATTCGTTTTTAGCAGGGCACTAACAATCATGTATAAACCATGGAGATTGTGGTTTCTTCAACTTCTACTGATCATCTTTGTGCGCAGCTCGGAGGCAGGCAGTAAGTATTACATGTATATTGTGGAGTGGGATTCGGGGCACGAAGATAGATTCAGGCCCCTTACTTTCCCACAAGATCAGTTTGTATAGATTTTTAGAAACGTTTTCTGGGCTCCATATTTCGAAATGTCCCTGTGTTCCAATTTCGAAGGTATTTCTGCCAAACAATGAAACAATGTGGTGAAGGAGGGCATTAATCCTGGACACCCTGGATCCCTGTCCTCTGATCACAGGGGTTTATACAATCTGCTATAAGACTGAAGAATTTCTACTCACTTCTGGAGCCCCGCTGTTTTCATTTTTCTATTATATTCACCAACTGACAGTTTCGGCAACACTTCCAAAATACAAAAAATCTCTCGCCATTTTCTATTTATACGAATGACAGCAGCTTTACGAAACTTTACGAAAAAAAAAAAAACAGTGCATAAGAGATAATCTTTGGAGTCGATCTTACAAAGATGTTTGTCTTTCTTTCTAATTTAGCATACTACCGGTACCTGGATAACTACTATTCTCACTGCAGTGATCAAGAGACCGTCTACTCTTCTGACATCTATTACTTGGATCCAACGTATTATTCCTATTATACCTATGCACCGAGCTCCTGCTACATGAGGTTTTACTCCTCTTCCTCCTCCTATGTCCTGAGTGCATATGTATACAGTGTCAGCATGTCGAGTTGTACACCGTACGTGACAATACGTGATGGATATTCCTCATCATCTTCAGTACTGGTAAGAAACAAAACGTAAATGCATGTATTCGGTTTGCTTGTATAGAAACAACCTAAACAGGCTGTTTTTGAACAGCATGATGATAGCTTTCTGGCTTAAGAATATCATTAATGAGTCTACAATGAGTCCTTTGTGAGTGCCAAAACGTACATCTTAAAGCGTACACGTTGGCTCATAAGTTGTAGTATATATAATAATGATAATTGAAATGCACGCTAGTTCGTGAGGTCACATACGGGTAACTCAGGGCACTTGATACATGTACATGTACGTCATAATACTACCCAGATATTAAGGCATATGGCGTGGTTTTGAACGTAAGTTATCTTGGAAAAATTCATATACAGAAAGACAGTGGACAGTAAACTCGCACTTTTAAGAAAAAAAGCTATCTAAAACGTGTCGCCAGATTAACCTTGTATATACCAGAAACGGAGGGACAAAACAATTCCTCTTTTAATCTTATCAATAACTGGCTCTCCATTTACAGATACTAGGAAAGTTACATTGGTATACAAGTCTCTAAATGGCCAACCACCTTTTTACATGAGTTATTTATTTTATAATGAAATATCTACTGTATCAAAGAGAAAGACCAGATCTTCAACCAAAGAGCAGTTTAATTTGTGAGATGACAAATACAGAGGCATTTTATTCACTGCAGGTCTATACTTATTACAGGGATTAGAAATTTTAAATCATTAAAAAGTTTTGAATTAGTTCTTTTTATTTTTATCGGAAATGAGGATTGTTGTCGTTATTGGTTTAATCTTTATTTATGTTTTATTTTCATTTTAATAGTCTTATTTATATATTAGTTTTATTCAGATGTTATTTTGAAAGTCTTAACACACTTTTTAATTTTTTTATTAACTGAGTAAATGTTTCATAACGTACTTTTACTTACCGCATGAGGGCCACGGGGAAGATAAAATTTTAATTTAATAAATTTTAATAAAGAAAGAAAGAAAGAAATGGAAAATCATTTTTTCGTGCGAAAAAGAGCGATATCCACACAGTCTCTCGTAATCGGTCTTTTGTCAGAGTTTTAAGAAAATATACAAATATCATAACTATTCATGCTTCAACTTCATTTCAGCGAACTGTCAGATGTACGAGCACCTCATCTGGCACTTACTATTCCACTGGACGGTATCTGTATGTGTACTACTATAGAGGTTATACCACAGGACACGACTTCAGAATTAAAATCCAAAGGGCTCTGACAGGTGTGTCTTCCCCCCTTGTCCTCTCTCTCTCAGTTTGTGTGTATAATTTGTAATCTGTAGCTAGCATATACTTACCGGTACAGTTTTTGCAGCAGGTAAAAGAAAGCCAAAATTAGAAAGAAACAGGCGACGCTAATTTAGAAAAATATGTAATTACCATTTCTCTTCGGACTTTTTTCAGGGTACACTTGCTATTCATGCACTAGCTGCAGCAGCACTGGCGGTAGCACGACACAATGCTCCTATGGATGTTCCAAGACTGTAACAACCTACAGTGGTAAGTTTAAGGGTCCCAATATGGTGATTTAACTGTGTTAAATATTTTTGTCTCTCATATATCTTGACAACGTTGATACCATGGGCGTCCGCAGAAAATTTTCCAAAGGGGGGGGGGGGGTCAAAGTCATTGAAGGGGGGGATAATGATTGGCTGGGTTCCCGCAATTAACTTGCCCGCCAAAATTTCGGGGGGGGGGGGGGGGGAAATGACCCCCACTAACCCCCCCCCC